AAATGGTACAGTTGTCGTAAGAGACAAATTAGCTGTATAAACAAAAACGGGTGGGTGAAGCTCAGGATGCAAAATGGGAACAGCCCATGACTTCTGCATGTCAGTAGGGTGATGAACCAGTTTGTAGTGCAGAATCAATGTTTACAAGGCTGAAACCCTGTCAGAGTTGTTTTTAATCAACTGAAAGCCTGAGAAGCAAAACTAGACCCCCAGTGAATGTGAAATTAAATTTAAAACTTCACTTTGAACCATTTTCCACACAAAAGACACAAAGAATGGCAGGTTCGTGGGACAACACAATGCAGTAAACACAATAAAATACACTAAAATATAATCTTTTCCTGCAAACCTCCTCAGTTTCATAAAACATGTGATTCCTCCAGTGTCTCCTGGGTTTCCCATGTGGTCGTTTCCTGGTTGGTTCCATCCAAAAACACCTGCCAAGAAAGGGAAACACTCAGTTGCCTTCCATACCAGGTGCCACAGTCTGCGACCACATACTGTATAGCATTGCCAAAGACTAATGTCAAATTTAAAGCAAGTGGGCTGAAATAAAGGTTGAAGAGCTGTGCATTTACATGAAAAGTGTGAAGTATAAAAGGTAACATCAGGGATTTTTGTCATTTATAACTACAATGCTGTTGGGAGAAAAAAGTTTTAAATCAGAAAATGATGGCCTTGTGTGTCACAGAAAGTTTTAGACTTTATCAGTAGTGACATTTAACCTCATACTCCAAATGAAATTTCAATTAACATGGAAAGAAAAAACAACTCTAAAGTAACAGCTAAAGTATGGCACACATTCCCAGAATAATTTTCCCTGTGACCTCTGCTAAAGCAGCTTAGTTAATAATTAAACCATCACACATTTATCACTGTCAGGAGGATCAGCATCTGCTGACTGATAATACTTCTCTTTATTTATGGGCTCATTCTGACCTACACCATTCAACTGTTTTATACCTAGAATAAGGACCTGAGGGATAATAAGGATAGACAGGCTGCTGACCAAGAGACAGCACAAGTATTGTAGACAGGAGACTTCAACTGCAGGGTGTACACTAAATCTGAGACCAAAAACAAGTCTTACAACATCATGCTTACGCTGCAGGGGAAAACTCGAGGAAGAGATACACAGAAGGTAAAAGCCAATATAAACAGGAGAGCTCCCTTTGATGCACAGAACAAAATCATTTCATTCATGCGAATGGGGGAGATGGGGTTCACAGTGAGGGTACTTCACTGAACCTTGTTTCCAATGTAATGGCCGGTGGGCCTGGACCAAAGATATTATTTTAATGGTGTGCAGAGAGAGAACAGGCAGACACAGCAGAGGGAAAGAATAACAGGGTGTCATAGCCACGAACGTGTTTTTCTAATCACCACAGAGAGCCTTTGGGAGCAGAAGATTCTCTCCAGACCAGCTCAGGTCTGGTATTAACATTATATCAAGTGCATTTATATGTCAACTCTGCAATCACTCTTCAGGTGTCTTCATGTATATGTATTATTAACTTTACATGTTCACAGTTCTAATGTTTCTATACAGGACTCGACACTGACATAAGGCTATTTGCATTTTTATGTTCTAGGTTCATTAGATATTGTACTGTGTGTGAAAAGTGTTTTCAAAGAACACATTATATTACTTAAAGTGTAACAGCAGAATGATTTGTGCTGAAATAATGAAGTAAATTGAAATCTGTACTTAGGCATTTTGCAATAAGCATTTAGCATAAAAATGTATCAGCTCATAAAAATACATTGCTGTGCATTACATTAAACTACCCTCCAGTATATAAAGTAGTAAACCTTTAGTACCAGCTGACACATTAATGCCTCTACAGTTTAACACAGAATGGAGCCATTTTTCATGATGAGAACTTATATTTACATTTTTACATTTACATCTACATCCAGAATTTCCCCTTGGGGATTATTAAAGTAAATATCTATCTATCTATCTATCTATCTATCTATCTATCTATCTATCTATCTATCTATCTATCTATCTTCAGGTGTTTTACAGACTACATTTTTGCTTGCTGTGTTGTTTTGTTGTGCCTTTGTTTTTATTTTCTCACACAGCAGGGTCACAGTAAAAGCTCACATGGAACAGCTGCTGGTATTTGACACTGAGAGGTTATTCTCCAGTAAATATAAAATTATCAACAAGCACCAAATTTAGGCAACACATTTTTTTATAAGTGCACTATGTGTTTATTATCTAAAATGTATGAAAACGGTCTGCAACAGCCTCGCCTCTGTCATTACTAGGGTCAGACGAGGTGCTATTTAGTGGTCCACACTCACCCCTTTGGAAAAAACAACATTTTTTTGCACTGTTTTCCGTAAGTATTTTGCAAGCCCCACTGTTTTCAATCAGCTTGCTGGATAGTGACAACCCACAGGCTGGTGGCATATCCTAAGGCATCAAACCTAATCTGGGTGCAGAACAAACAGTCTAAATTTAATAAAACTACAGAAAGCATCCTACTTCTTATTGTGGTGAGTGACTGAGGAACAGAAACATATGTACCTTACGTGAGAGGATCTCTACATCTGGCCTGAGTCATGATTGTTTCAGGGGTGTGGGCATGTACAACAGCTGCAAACAACCACTCCCAGATGTTTCTGATAGGCCAAGCGTCTTGTTGTTTGTTAGGCGTGGGGTGATCTTTGATCCTTCAGCAGCGTTGGCCTAGTGTTATCGTGAGGAGGGCCTGGGAGGCTCTGAGAGGCACACAACAGAAGCATAGTAACCTCACAGAAGGGTTTGTGGTGCACTGTGGTGAAAACAGAGATTGTAAAGTAACTTCAGCTGTGGAAAAGAACCCTTTGGAAACCATCCAGAGTCTGTATCCAAGCCCAGTTGTGCTACTGGCATTGTAACAGAGGATGTAAACACATAATTTTATAATGTACAACCTTGTGATTTATAATAGCACTGGAAAGAAAGAGAAAAGTGAAAGTTTATTTTTAATGTGAAAGAAACAGAAATCTCTGAAACTCTGTAATAACATCTACAAATATTGAAAATATTCAGTGTAATGTATTCAGCAAAACAAATTCTCAGCTTCTACACAAATGCTTCTTCCATCATCAGTGCTGAGCTGTGCAGCACACTCTGGTAAGGACAAGACTGTAAATAACATTTTATTTTCCTCTGCAAAAGGGGAGGTTTGTCCTTCTGCTGACATGATCACTCTGCCTGAACCACACGTGGCTAAAACCTCTTTGAAGTGACGATCATCCTGTGCCTACTGTACATCCCAGAGCTATAAAGGCCCGACTATTCTTGTCAAACTTGTGACAGGCTGTGCACACCCACCATTTTCTTCAACACTGATGGTATTTTAGGAAGTGGTGCAAACCAGGCCAGAACTTCCAAAATAAACATGGCATTTATGGACCGGAAAAGACTTACCATGCCACTCCTGCTTCCCCTCTCATCTCAAAACGTGGTCCCACTGCAGGAGCACTTCAGGAACAGGTCCTGACAAGGCAGCACAGTACATTTTTCTCTCATGCATTACTAAAAGCCCATGACCTTTGCATCATTGCTCCGTGATTACTGTAAAGAGGTTTTACTCAGTTCAGTCATGTTGTGCAGTCATACATTTTAAATATTCAGTCAATACCTGTAAACAAGCTGACATTCACAGTTTGGCTGCATCAGAACACTCACCAGTTTTAGCATATTTTTTTCAAAAGTTGCAGTCATATTTTTGTTTTGTTCATCTTCAGAAATATCATGACACTCCAGATTAGACAGGAGTCTGTTTCATTTCTACTGGTGTTTCTTATAAACAAAGCTTAGACATTAAAAGCTTTGCAACACTATGGAATGTGGGGGTTAACAACTGGGTCCCAATCCTTTTGAACTATGCCCCAGGGATGAGTTAGGATGACAGCATATTAGAAGGAGTTGTGTAATTAAGTTTTATAATGCTATGCCCTGTCATATCAGATAGCTCAGACTGTGTTGTGTCACAGGCAGAGCCCTACTTGTCATTAAGAGCTTTATTCCAAAATGTCTTTTAAGTAGAGTTTGATGGTTTATACACCACAGGCAGATGTGTCTTATAGCATGCACAGCAGTGAGCTGTAATCAGATCACCAGTGTCCCAGATAAACTCCCAGACAGTAGTGGGTTGCCTGCAGGCCCAGCCTCCCAGTGGATAACATAACATTACAATAAATGATTGCCTTACTGTAATATAGTGAATCTGGAGGCTGCTCACAATGACTAAACTATTTTACATCATACAACGTGATGAGCCAGCCTCCAAAAGAGATTCACATGTCTGTCAACTGGTTAGTATGTAATTAATTCATCCTCTTATAAGCTGGATGTTGATGTATGCCAATCTACTTGCAACTCAGTTTTCAGTGGAGTGTACACATCAAAATTCTCAAGCAAAGGTGACCCCTGGTGGTCATGCAACTGAATGTCAACAAAAAGTGTACATTTATTCATGAGAAGATAAGTAGATTACATTTTATGCTGCCATTCATTTTGTGTAAAAAAGATTATCTCATTCAAGTTCCTTCCACTAAATAACATCTTAGATTGGTAGCGTGTAGTACTATGTCTGATATTTGACAGACTCGGGATGATTTCATTTTTAGAGGTACATCAAATTTTGCAAAACTGATTGCAAGGTGTTAACTCCTGCAGCTGCAAACATTTCACTTACACTGGACCTTCTGGGTCTCTTCAATAATATTCTCATTACATCATTATAAACTAGTTGAAGTTTCTTTTCTGTAGGTAAACCACTGGTAAAACGGCATGCAATAAAATTTTGAAAGAAAAAAACATCTTCACTCAATCTGAACATGCACTGCAACTTGCACAAGATAATGTTTTACATGTATAAATGATTTCTGAAAGTTAAAAGTTGACAGAAGAAAACAGGCAGAAAAGTTGAAGGGCAGAGCCTACAGTCGGTGATGCTACTGCTTGGCGGAACGAAAAGTCAGCGACAAACGTTTCCAGTCGGACGACAATTTACTTCGGCAAATGTCTATTTACACCACAACGTGGAGTGATTGAACTTTCATGGCAGGAGCATATAAACAACTATAAGTCATCAACAAGTGTTCTCATTTATATTATAATGGGTAAAAGGCACCGCAGTGAAGACTCGGTAGAGTCAGACGCTCCGGTGAAGAAGGAAAAGGTTCCGGAGTTCAATGGGACGGTGTTTAAAGCCATGCTAAAAGACCCCACTACAGCCATGAAGGGTGTGTATAACGTTATATATATATATAATGGGATTGGATCAAATACATATATATATATATTTGATCCAATCTCACCGTTTTGTCCTCCACAGGACTGGAGACATTCATATCAATCGCTAAGAAGCTTCCATGCTCTGACCTATATGATGTGGTGGAAGGATATGTTAAAATCTCTATGGAGTGTGCAGAAATATTCAAATTGCTGGAGGGAGAAAAGCACGTAGAGAGTGAGGTAAGCTGAAAAGCTCTTTTATCAGTGGGTGGACTGACGTGTTACCTGTTTTTGGACAAGTAAAATTTTAATCTAGTCTTGTTTCTGCTCAGATGATGCTAATTTTTGAGAGCTTGGAGATGATCCTGCTAAGGACAGCCAGTGACCTGTCCCACTTCAACATGGTTGGCAATGCTGTTGTGAAAAAGATTGTTTCTAGCTACGTAAAACTTCTGCAGGGATCTTTCCATTCACAAAATCACAGGTTAGTCTTAATTACTTCAATATGGGAACCTTAATGTTGGTCCTCGGTGCAATTTGCCTATTGTGTTTGTGTTTTCCCTTGTGGACAGGTTCGTCCGTCAGTCCCTCAGTTTGTTGTCCGCCTTGGTGTCTCAGGGTCCAGAAGCTGCCAGAGAAATCTTAAGTCACATTCACATCAATAAATCCCTGTCTGGACTGGCAAAGAGAAGGGATAAGAAGGTGTGATGTTTTCAGAAAGTTTTTGTAGTTGTTCATTACTGGAGATATGTACGTTTACATTTTTCTCTGTAAATATTTCAGGGAAGACTGGATGTCCGCATGGCTTTTATCCAGTTTGTGTTGTCCTTCTTGGTGTCTGGAGATAATGCTGCCGTTGGACAGATACTAGAAAACAAAGGTAATAATTAGACACAGTTTAAACAGAAATACGTTCTCTCATGTGTTGATAACATGTTAATTTGGTGTGTCAGAGCTCCTGCCAGAGATCTTGAGTACAGGTCTGAAGGAGGACAGGATGTCCGTAGTCACTCTGATTTTGTCCACGCTGAAGACTACAGTGAGTGGTCAACAGTCCACACTTTCCTTTTAAAAATCAGTTTATGGATTTGATCTTTACACTTATGGTTATTTGTTTTTCCTCAGGTTGTACTAAACAAGGCCATAAGTAAAACACAGAAAGTACGTTTCTTTACACCGGCTGTATTGGCCAACATCGCGTCTCTTTATAAATGGAATGGGATTGTGGATGCAGCCACTGATGATAACGCAGTAGGTTATTTGCTTTGTGTCTTCTGTTTGCTGAAACGACAGCTCTGCCAGCCAAATTTGTTATTCAACTTGTGGGTTTAATTTTCATTTATTTCTTCGTAAGACGGTGGAGAGCTCCTCAGAGCATGCTGGGATATCAGTTGTCCGAGAACTTGTTCACAGTTTTCTTCTTGACCTGTGTTGCTCTCGTAAGCACGGCATCAGCTTTCATGATCCCAGCTTTGGCACGTCTGGCAGGTGAGCAATCTCTAGCATGTCAAGTTTCCCTTGTACTCTTCTGAAAACCCCTCATGGTAACATTTGGTGTTTTACTTTGTTACAGAGCTGGTAACATTGTCTTGCTTCAGTTCCTGGTGGGGCTGAAACAGGCCACAGAGGATGAACTGGTGGCAGAACTGGTGGTAAACGTGCTGAAAGCTAGTCCTGATATTCTGGCCAGATACTTCAAGGAGACTCAGTATTCATACACTCCCCGCCTGAAAAGTGCTTGGCAGGACAATGTCAAGTTGGTTAAAAGGGTAATTATTGCTGGTATATTTGCTTATGGCAAGACATCAGTATTATTATTTTGTTTTTAAAAGACACTAACAGTCGTCTTTGCGTTTTATGTTAGATCTATGAGGCACAACCAGAGCTTTGCACAGTCTTTCGAACCTGTGAGGTCATCTCCCTTCCTCGCCTGCTCTCCATGATTATAGTGACATCTCTTCCTCCTGTTTGTAACAAGGCTTTTTTCACACAGGGCCTCAATGTAAGCAACGTAGCATCATAAAATAAAATGATTAGTCCAGTGAACTATGAAAACAACCTTACATAGTACTTGTTAGTATCTGTGGAGAATATCTTCTCTTGTATCTGACAGTTTGCCAACACAGCAGTGCAACTTACAACTCTGTCCATGATGAGTTTCATCTTGAAACGAGCCAACAAGAATATAGAGTACCTTTTGGATAAATCTGAGTGGCACGGCTCAGATGTGTACACTCTTGACATGATGGGGGAATTAGTGCAGCAGTACAGAGAGACACTCAGCAAGGTAAACTCAGGAAAGTGGTGTGGTTAATACTCACACATAATAATCATGCACCGTTCAACCACTCAAGCTTCCACTTTTTGTTCCAGATTTTGCCTGACATGACGAGCATCATTGCACAGTGGCAGTCAGTCAGCAAGAAGGAAAAGGCCGGTGGTGAAGAAGAAAGGATCAAAATTGAAGGGAGTTCTCGACAGTCAGATAATAAAAATGAAATACCTGGTAATAACATTTACAGCATGTGTATGTTGTTTTTTTTTAATCAGTCATGTAAAGCAAAGAGGAAAAGCAAGAAAACCTCAGTTGACTATATCATGTATTTTATGTTGAACAGCTCTTGAGACAGCTGAGGTCATCCTGCTCAAGGCTCTGATTCTTCAGGTCATATGTCTCTACCAGAAAGTGGTGCCACATCTGGTTAGCCAGTGCAAATTTGACTTCAGCAAGCTCTTAAAAGGTAATGACTTTTCTATGGAGCAGATAACACTTTAATTATTGTTGTGATGTTTTTTAACTGTAGATTTTAAACTGACTACATTTAATCTTACTAGGGATTGTGTCAGAAAAAGGAATGAGGGAAGAAGTCCCCCCAGTTTTGCAATATCAGATACTGCAGTTGGCCTTAGAGCTCCCTGCAAGCAAGTTCTCCTGGTTCCGTATACAGGTGAAAAAGTTACTCCGTTGGTCTTATTTTACTGTTACTCTGTCATTTAAATGATTGTTGTTTAGCAGGTGTTACTACTTAGTAATGTGGCCTGTATTGCTTTTATTTGCAGGATGTTGGAGATACTGAATCATCATCTGGAGAGAAGTCAGTACTTTACTTGCTTCTCAAGATGTTTGTCAGCAGCAGCTACTTGAAAACCTCCACACGGATGCTGGTTCTAAAAGTGAAGAACATTTCTTTTTTTTTTTCCTCATTTGCTTTTTACCCACACTGTATGTGTGACATAGAAGTTTTGATATTTGAATTAAACTCAAGTCTCCTGACCAGGCAGGCACAGGACTCTTTCATTGTTAACCCCTTGTTGTTGTTAAACCCTTAGGAAACATTTCAGTTTTCCTGCCTTATATTCAGGTACTAAAAGACAGTGGGGTGTTTGAGTATACCTGGACTGAGCTTGAACTCTGGCTCAACCAGCTTGCCAGAGTAGAGCAAAGCCAACAAGAGACTGTCATCCAGTTCATGGAGAGGGTGAGTGCATCTATGCAACATCTTTGTTTAAATCTGAAATTTATGTCTGTTACTGTTGGTTAGACAAAATTGGAATTTTAAATCACGACATCGTAGTTATAATTGATTAGAAACTCCTGGTTTCTTGGTCTAGGTGTTCATCAAGCTGGTGTGCAATTCCTACACATACACAGATAAGGTTGCCAGTCTGGTCCAGGAGGCAGCCTATCTGCAGGCTAACTTGAGTAGCCAGGAGGGTGACACTGCCAGTATCCCAGTCTCACACATAGATGGTAAGCATTTAAAATTGGAGCCCAAGTTGATTTCCTTCAGCCATAAGAATGTCTGTGAAACTTGTGTTTTGCAATCTGACAATGTGTTCTAGATGTCTTAGACATGCTGGATGTCATTATGGAGGGTAATGATGGTGAGATGGAAGAGTTCGGGCAACCTCTGAGTGAAGACCTCATTAGCCAAACCTTCCCCTTCAGTGTGGTGGTACCAGCTGCTCTGGAGGCCAGGAACAAAGTCCCAGTAGTCAAGGGTAAAAAAAAAAAGCACTTATGCTTCAATTTGGACAAATAGTAAACTTCAAATTTGAAGAGTTAAACCACTTGTTCTGGAGCTGAAAATGTGTTGTATCTTCAATTTAGTAGACAAAGTTAAAAATGCACACAGATGGTGAAACAGTGAAAGCTGGTGTAGAGTTCATGCACATCTAAAAAGTTTCTGTTGCAGTATGGTGATTTATAATTTGCTGCATCAAAAGTGCAACTTTACCCTGAGATAAACCCAGTCCATTGTGCTTAATAAGTGGTTTCTCTCCATCCTAATAAGTATTTCAAGCCTTATTTAATGAGATGTTATAATTTTGACAACCGTTTCTTTTCTTCCCTCAGGAGCAGTATATGAATACTTGTCTGCTGTGCTCTCTGATGTGCTGCACTGTCAGAAAGAGCCACTTCCCCTCTGCTTGGCTCTGATGCAGTACAATAAAGAGCTTGTGTCCTGTAAACACTCTTCAGCTTCTGCACATCCCTCCATTATACACCTTCATCAGTATTACTCCAAATGGCTACCACAGCAGTGCCGGGAGGAACTGGTCAGTTTTTACTGGCATCAAGAGATTAATTAACTGAAAGGGTGATTACCTGTAAACCTTTTTGTGGAAAATAAGTAAGTTCTAATAAGTTCTCTTTTTTGCAGTTCAAGTCCTTTGAAGGCCATTCAAAAGAATCGGCAACCTTCGTTTCATTCACTGAACTGATGAAGGCTGCTTATATCCAAGGACCGAGCACTCTGCTTGATGGCACCTTCAGGAAGAATGTGGAAGAAAGTCTAGCTTCTGTGTTGTTGTCTGATTTTCCAGTAGCAGTCAGTCAGATCTTACTCTACATCAAATCAACAGTGGACAACTTTGGCATGGTAAGAATACAAGACAAGCTCACTACTCAGTAAACTACTATGATGAATATATACACAGCACATCATGTACTTCTGCACAGTTCTCCAAAGAGACAGGGACTGGCCTGCTGAAGACCTTCATGGGAATACTTCAGGATTTGGTGACCAAGTTGCAGGGCTTTCAGGAGACAAAATCTGAGCCAGCAGCAGAAACCCCCCAAGAAGGATCAGACCTCTTCCTGGAATTCAACCACTTATCCACAGTAGAAGCCAACAAGGAGGAGGTTGGGAAAAAGTTCAGCTTGTACAGTCACTTTTGTTTAATGACTTTTTTTTTTAGCTATGCCCAACAATATCAAGTTCATTTAAACAGTTCTGTCTTTGTCTCTGTCTTTAGATTCTTGTTTCGACTCTTGCCTCCATCTTCAAGCATCCATGTTTGGAGCAGTGGTTTCTGGCTCTGGAGCTGGCTGCTCTGCCTCCTCAGACCCTGAACCCCATCAGACTCAAGCACCTGTGTGCTCAGCTGAGTGATGATATTCTGGCCTTGTTGAAGATCAGTGCCCACACTCTTCGTGATTTGGGTCATCTGGAACTTCTTGGTAGCTACACTGGGGCTATAGAGAAGGCTGTACTCAAGGAACTGATGGACAAGGGCTCAGAGACTACAAAGAAACAGTCCAGGCCTTTCAAAGCCCTCCTTTCTCTGTACAGCTACATGGACTCTTGTAATCTGAGGGAGGTGGTTTCCAAGCTGTTACTTCTCCCCCATGAGAGCCTCGTCTCTCCTGGCACTGAGGGCACACAAGTCCAGCTCAGTATCTACGGCCATGCAGCACTGCAGATCCTCACAGATGTTCAGTCTAACTCCCAGGACCACAGCACCTTTCTTACACAGGCACACCTTCGTGGCTTGGGCTCCCTGCTTTTGTCCTGCTCCAGCCCCGCGCTGGAGGCCTTCCTGCTTCAGACTCTGTCTAGTGAGCCAGGCAGTGCCAAGCTCATCCACACAGATGTGCTGCTGCACTGTCTCCAGTGTCCTCTCCCAAACACTCTGGCAATCAGCTCCCTACTGCTGCAGAATTCCTCCACTCACCGCCTCTGCTTTGAGGGCTGGTGTCTAGAGCCAGCGAACATAGAGAAGGTCTCGGACCAGACAGAAACCTTCCTCCCACTGATCGGTACTTACTTACAGATGGCAAGTAGAGAGGACCCTACCAGACCCAAAGATGGTTTGTATGAAAAAAGTTCTGCATTGTCTAATATTATATAGCACCAGAGTTTGTCACTTTTTTTCTCTCATTTTCCCTTTTATACTCATTTTGATATGCTCAACTTCTGTGCATTTATAGTGCAAAAAGAAGTTTTAAAAGCCTTAAAGCAAGGATTGCTTGCCAGATTGTCCCGATGTGTTCTGGGAACCATGACAGAAGACTCCAGAGCCCTGCTTGTCGAAACACTATCCAGTCTGATCAAGCTCACTGCAAACATCAAGGACATCAGGGATTTGATCAGCAATCTTCCCAGTGTGCTTCAGAAAGTGGACAGTTTTGAAAGGTTATAATTGACTTAAAATTTAAAGCTAGAAATGATCAGTCTCCCAAGTTATTAGCTTAATGTTGTTTTCTCTTCCAGATGGCAGCTGGTAAATGTTATCACAGAGAAACTCTTGAGTTGCCCAGAGGAGCAAGAAACCTGGAGGACGTCTGTCACCACTGCCGCCCTCAAGTGTCTCATCGCTTCTTACAGTCACTCTAAACATTGTGCAGCTTCACCATCAGAGCAGGAGCAGAGCATCCTGGAAAGACTGCAGCGACTCCTAGTGGGTTAACTTTCCTCAAATATGCCATACATTGTTAGTTTCACTTTCAGTATTTCATAATTTATCTTAACTACACAGACATCACCTGATGACATCGCTGCATCTGAATGGAACAGTTTTGTCAAGAATGGACTAAAGTAAGATATATATTTTTTTGCTAACTGTTTGATCAAGAACATCACATAAGATTTTTTTTTTTTTTATGAATGACCTAAAACATTCTGCTGTAGACATCGCTACAGAGACCACTGCTTCCTGAACACTTTGAGCAGCCTGTTGGAACTGATGTACAGTAACAGTGATGCCCAGAAGGATCTGATTCCTTTGTCCACCCTTCACATGATGATCAGCAGCCATTCTCTGTTCCTGCCCACAATGCTGGCATCTGATGAAGAGCCTAGCATATGTCAGGCTAAAGGTGTGGTACATAAAAAAAATTATAAACATGCATCTTTATCCCTCAAAGATATTTATTGTTTGATGCAAACACAATTTGTTGTAATTTCAGAAGCATTAGTGTCCCTTCTTTTCTGTCTGGTGAAGAAATGCCCAACAGTCTGTAACATCAGTCACTTTGTTGTTCTTTTGGGAGCATATGGAGCAACGCTGAACAAGTCAGGTAAAAGAGGAAATCTGGATTTTTTGGGGGGGGGGGTTGTGTGTGGGTCATCCTCCTTTCATCACACATCTCGTGCTGTTTTGCAGATCAGAAACTGTTACGGCTTCTCCATGAATATGAGAGAAACCATGTCAGTCTGCTGAGGTTTCAGTAAGTCGCATTCATTTGTTTATGTTGTACATGCAATGAGCGCACCTTTTTGTTGCAGACACTCAGTGTGAGTTTTGAACTGTAGATCCTTCTTATGGGGCCCAGCAGCTGTGGAACACCACAGGACCAGGAAAAGCCTTGGGGCTTCCCTGTGGAAGCAGATGGGCTCAGATGAGCTGTTGGCCCTGTTGAAACCTGAAAGGATGCTGCAAACTATTGCACACTTCCCCCAGCACCTCAGCATCATCCCGCAGGTTGATTTTTTAGTTCATATTTGTTTGACAGAAATACACCGGTATAAGTGTATAACTTACTGTAGTGCATATTTTTTTGTGTGGTGTCTAGCTGTGTTGATGCTTTACATTCTACAAACCAAATGTGTTTTTGAGATATATGATATCTGTTTTTTGGTTGAAAGTAGTTCCAAGTTGGTCACAGAGGGATTTAAGAATTATCCTAAGTAATTATCTTTGAGCATCAGAATGAAATTCCACCCACACCTCCATCCAATCTCAGAGTTGGGATATATGATATGAAACTTGCATGAAAACTTTAATATGCATGTTATTTTCTCTCATAGGATGGTGATGAGCTGCCAAACAGTAACAAGGCAGTGACAAACCCAGGGAATTTGTATGATCCTCGTTTTCTTTTGCCTCTGTTCAGTGCTATACTGCGTCCAGGTGACTATATTTAAGTCCGGTTGTCATCACTGTCAGTCATCAGTTTAGGTCATCAGTAATTATATCTGTTGCATTCTTCATCCTCTATGTGACAGAATGTGTGATTGACTGCCTCAAGTTTGTATCCAGCCACGCTCTTGGAGTAACTGTAATGGCCCTGAGTAGCTACGACCCAAAGGTTCGAGCGGCAGCGTACCATGTGCTGGGCTGCTTCTACCAACACCTGGAGGGTGCTCGGTTTAGAGAGAAGAGACAGGTAAATTATCAGAGAAGTGGCATATTTCATGTATGGAGATCACCTTAAGAAATACTAATGAGCTTGTTGTCATCAAGCAGCTGCTGTACGTGATGGACACAGTGAAGAATGGAATTCAGAGGCCGAATCAAAGACTTTCATTTGTAATGACCACTTATATCACCAAAGTGGCTCAGCTGATGCTCAAACCAGGTGCGTAACCCTGAAAACGTGTTAGTTCCTGACCAGCGTCTGTTGACCCAGGATATTTATGTAACAACATTTGTTAAAGACTTGTTTGAGACATTTTACAAACTGATAGAAAACTCTGCCTTATTACAAAGTAAATGTTCATATTTTTATCTTTTTGTTTGCTGTATTTGTTACTATTTCTATATATGGTCTGTATTTTACTAATGCCTGCTGCATGAACAAGTTTCCTCTTGGGGTCATTGATGTTTTTCCTTGTTTTTCCTGATTTTCCAGAGGACCACATGTACATGGTGGTAAACAGGTTTCTGCTGTCCCATCAGTGGTTGGAATTCAGAAGAGTCCCTGAGTTCTTCAAGTTGTTCTATAGTTTCGACTTGCAGGTACATTATTGTAAGAAAC